GACACTACATTTGGCACCAAATTTGTGCATATCTTTTCATAATAAGGGGTTATGTGCTATTTTCTTCCTGCAAAATAAATGTCAGTGTAGACATTATAGAATAATAAAATCAGACAGAATATGCTGTGATTCCTAAATAAAATAGATAGGGGGGTACGGACACTACAAAAAGTAGGAGACACCAAGGGGCTCATGATTATAAATACCATAGCATTAATAATAATGGTTACATATGCACATCTCCTTTCTTATGTTTAAGTCATAACATGGTTAATTCATCTTATTATCACGTATGTGATTTCAAAGTAATATTTGGCCTTATCAAATATGTTTTTCATTGCATTAACAAAAATAAGTAAAACGTGTACAAAAGCCTGTTTCAGCAAAATGGTTAAAATAAATTTTTACTCAGAACATATCTTTGGAAGAACCTGCTAGAAGAGAAGACATATGTTGTGGGAATTATATACTAATATCATATTCACCATAAATCATTGACATAAAGAGCTAGTGCATCATATTTATGACCTAAGTTGCAAATGACCCTTCGTAACAGCTAGAAATAGATACTTTTTGGACACATAATTGGCCATATTTTTGTAAATTGTAGTCCGATTATTATAATTCTATTTTATTTTGCTCCTATGAACAGTGTCTTTGAAATCAGTCTATCAGCAATCTCCAATTATAAATTGTAAATTTATCAGACACTTGTAACATCAACCACATTTAATTGTTCACCCTGATTGTGAAACAGCCGAGTGCGCGCGAAATACTACATGTACGTCATTTGGCGGACTTTTATGCATTACAATTAAATAAATTCATTGGTGTAATAAAAAAGATGCCATACTGAACACAATCGTTGGATGCTGAGTCCTTGAAAATAACAAAAACAGCGAACTCTGTTTAAAAGTTTTCATTCATCTTGCCTGAATATTACAATTAATCGAAATCAAATTTTCTTCAGCACTGAATTCTGCCGACCTTGCGTTGTCAGCCGGAACCTCACGCTGCTCACTGGGAACTTGGTCATCTCTGAAACAAATGATTGTATAACAAAAACTATTTACAAAGATGACATAAAAATGTTTATAGCAAATATGATAAAAGGACTTTGACATGGAGTAGACTTAAAGTCAATGTCTTACTTAATTATCCATCCATGTGTTTATTTATTCAGATTGAAATCTAGAATGTGTTCCTTTTTATTAATTTCCATAACTGCACGGTGTATGCATAGAGTATACATGTAGATCTAAACTTCTAATAATAATAAGTCACGTTAACATGCTTACATGGCGACAAAATAGACCACAAGAAGATAGAATACGCACACATAAGTTGCAAATCACGTGGCCAGGTAACGAAAAACTCACGTGACTCAATATTGCTATTTCACTGTAATAACAGTTAATTTAGCCTTTTTTATTAATTTGTTTCTCAGATGATTTTGTTGATAACGATTTTTTGAAAATAAAAATGGAATTTTCACCTCTCTGTATCACTGCAGTTCACGGACTGATCTCCTGCCAGAATTTCTGCAGGCACATACATCAATATATTTCTGATCACTGAAAAGGAAAGGCTTATGTCATTCCTTATCCTCAGACTCTCCAACGTATTATGTCCTGATTCAGATAGATACATCGTTCTAGTTGGGTCGGCTCAACTCTGCGGGGATTCTCGCTAAGTGCATTCAGAAAAAACAGCTAAATTGTCTGAAGCGCCTCCTCGAGCAGCTAGGGGGTAATGAAGCCGTGCGCGCACGAAATTCTTTAACCCTCTAGCTGACGGGAAGTCGTGTCATTCCGTTAATATAAGCCGTTTGCATTTAGCAAGAGGCCCTGCAGGGCTGTTCCGACCCAACTAGTACGATTTATCTATCTGAATGATCCCTTATTAGTTGCCAGGGTATAGTTATAGTATCATAGTAGAGATTTTATAATAAATATACTTATACAGAAGGCCCCCAGGAATACATCATTGTGGTTATTTCACGACCAAATTAAATTTTAGAAACTTATTCTTTAACAAATTATGTCAAAGTTTGATAAAATCATGTAGATGTCTGAGTTATAGTAATGCATTGTATTACCTGAATCTCTAAATGTGTATTATTTGTTGGAGAGATCTAGAACTGCTATAAAGGTTTAAAAGATGTTTTCAGTTTTAAAAGAATAGTCAGATGTTTTACAAGAAAGTCGCACAGATTTATTATGATTCACTCAAACTAATGTGCATCATATTCAGCGTGAAAATAAATGAATGCATACCTCTGACGGAAGATCTTTTTGAAATAGAGCCCACAATCTTTCCGACACCCTCCCTTACAGGCGCAGCCGAATATATTGCACTTCCCGTATCCACAATATGGAGTGGACTGAAAGTCAATTTCATAGAGAAATAAACATAGTGCCACCTGAAGAAAAGCTGTTTAATTAAAAACGTAGATTCAATAACTATATGAACAAGTTGGAAAGAATACTGTCATTAACACATTTCAATATTGATATTATCTTCAAATTTTGAAATTTCAATCGTAAAATTTCTGGTGAATACTGAATATAGAAAATGAAATTTGCCGTTGTTATTTTTTATTTTCTGTGGCAAGGTGATGCCACAACCACGTCACCAACCAATTCAACCGCCACAACCAAACCCATAGCCACGTTAANTATATTTATACGTGTCTTTCATTTATACCTATTCAAGTGACTGATATCATACCAAGGAAAAGGCGTTCAACTAATAATGCATTATACGATCACTGGACAAGAGATACTGGTCTAGAGAGAACAGATTTCACTTTCTGAAAGGCAGGGTGTAAACTGTTAATTTTGTGACTCTGTGAAAGGCACAAGGCTATATTGTATGAACAGTTTATTCTTATTTTGTTTCATTGTTGTAAATAAAATCTGTTGCTGACTTATATGCATTGTTTAGTCCTCTGTGAGTTTGGAATTTAATTGTGCGGACCTACGGCACGTTACAGTATTATTAATTGGCACAAAGTTGTTTTTTTACTTGTGAAACATATTGACCTGTCATAACCTTATCGGTAAAATTTTTGGAACTTAATATAGTATCAAATTGTTTTTTCACTGAATTTCAAACTAAAATGTCTTGTAAAAGTTTAGATAATTACTGTGTAGTTGTATTACCGACCTTAGTATATAGATGAACTTTAATAGCACTTTTGAAATGACTTTCATGTCGTTTTTAATGTGGCAAGTACTTCTTCCCCAGACATTATCTCGTGCAGACGATACAAGAAACAAAAATCCTATCCAGTCCATCCCTCTACCACCCCTTATGATCAGATCCTCCCAGGCGTCCAAACTACATACAACTCTTTCCTCTCTGACCCTGTGCCCTTCCCCAGTCCTTTGTCAACATCACCTTTCCAAAATCCTCTCATCACTGGAAAGAGTTCCTCCACCTCTGCTGCCCAAGGTCCCATCCCTTAGCTTTCCAATTTAGAGTTGACAAAAATTAAAATACAATACAAAGGACCAGCAAGCTTCTGTGTGAAGGAAATGGCCAGCCTTTTTACTGCTACTGAAAGAATAGATCGACAAAGAATATTGAAGGATCAAACAAAGGCCAAACAAATGTGTGCTTATGGAGATTGAGAGTGGGTTTTATAAGAAACACCCTCCATAAATTTTACACCAAACATAGGGAAGACAACTTTTGGAGCAAAATGATGACCGCCATGAACACGACCAACAGGAATCTTAGGAGCTTAGAAAGTTGTAATCTCTGTTAGCCGTGTTGACTACTTTTAACAGCATAAATGAAATGGTTACCTTTCTCTACATTTAAATTTTGACAATTGTTTGTGATATTTTAGTTGCAAAACATTTATTTCATTTCATTTTTAATTTCATTTTTTTTTACTCTAATTTTTTTACTGTAACATTATAATGATTCTTTGCATGATTCTTTAGATGAAGAGAAAGAAAAGGCACCTGGTCCTGTTAGATCTAAACGTAGACTAAATTATTACAAAATTATTACAAAAATTAAGTTTAATTATGTTTATTATCATATGTATATACCAGTGACACTTGGGAACAAAGCCAGCAAGCAAAACTGAAAACAGCAAGCAGCTTTTCAGGACAATTAAGAACAACATTAAGTCTAACTGCACCCTTCTTGCTGAAGTCTGCTCTGTCCATGCTAGTAATAAGCCAGACTCTGTGCTGACAGAGATAACCGCTGCATTTCCATTTGTTGAAGTCCCCTGTACATTCAGAAAAACCTTCCAACCAGTCATCTGTTTTAGACTGTATAATTCACATTTAAGGAGGACACTAAACTATTTGATGTATTTCATGTTTACATTTATTTTAATGTCTTTGTGTTCATTTCAGAGAGATTTAATCAAACAATCAAAAAAATGATGGCGAAATCTACGGAAGACCCAAAGAAATGGGATGATGTCCTATCAGGATATGTTTTCTCTTACAACACCTATATACACGAAAGCACAAGATATTTCCCCTATTTTTTCATATTCAGAACATATGTTCATTTACTCCATCTATTGAATGTCAAGAAAAAAGAAATAACATATTTGTAAATGTTGCATGATCAAATGGGTCATTTTGGGAGAAATCACAATGCAGAGTTGGGGAGAAATCAGTTCTTTTGGCCATCTATGGCAAAAGATGTGTCAGAAAAAGTGAGTACTTGTGGTTGTTGTGTGAAAAGAAAACATCTGTTTCAGTGCCTGCTGCATCACTGTTAAACATTCAGACAACTCAACCAATTAATGGAGCTACTGTGCATTGACTATTTATGCCTTGAGCCTTCAAAAGGTGGTTTTGACAACATTTTAGTGATGACCGATCGCTTCAAAAGGTATATGTTGGCAGTACCTACTTAAATCCAAACAGCCAAAACTACCGCTAAAGCAATATTTGAAAATCTTATTGTCCAATATGGTTTTTCTGCTAGGTTGCACAGCGATCAAGGTTGCAACTTTGAGTTCTGTCATAAAAAAATCTGCGTGAAATTGCTCACACTGAAATAAAAAGTATTTATACCAGTGTGTTATGGAACCTTTAAAACATGCAGTATAATTTATAATAGCAATTACATTTTTACTTCTGATCCTTTTCGATTTGCATATCGTAAGTTCAGGTCTACTGAGGATGATGTTGCTATCACTTTACACAATGTCCTTAGGTTTTTAAAACCTAAAATGCCCAAATATGTACAACTACTCTTTATTGATTTAGCTTTGCTTAAACACAATACTGCTTTTTTAATCTGCAAGAAAAACCTGTAATTCTCTCAATATTAGTACATCACTCAGTGACTGGATTTCAAATTTCGAGTCCAATGAGTCAAAGACCATGCATGGAGATAACCACTGGCACGCCTTATGGCTGCCTCATTTCAATTCTTTTGTAATCACTGTTTACATCTGATTGTGATGCTTCATAGCCCTATTGTCTGATTTGTAAGTTTGCGGATGATACCGCCTTATTAACACTTCAAGCAAGTTACAAGGTTCAGTTATAAATATCACTATTTAATATGGCATTCTTTCATTATTTAAGGCAAGAGAAATCCAGTAGTGGAAAGTCCAGAGGAAAGGTCCTACAGCCTAGACGACAGAAGACCTCATGCTAGAATGGGTAGCCAAAATGTTTAGAGTCTACACTGAGCCATGCCCTTCTATACTGAGTATGGATGCCTTTTCTGCCCATACCACTGAGAGAGTGGTGCAGGCACTTAAGTGAGTGTCAGCAAAGCCAGCCATCATCCCAGGAGTTTGCACCTCTAAGGCATAGCCCCTTGAACAAGCCATTAAAAGGCCATCTTAGGAGGCTGTGGTCTGAGAGGAGGTGTGAAGATGTCAATAAGTATGCCGGGTCTTACCGGTACCCATGTTCCATCCTCTTTGCTTATATTACCCACAACTCCTGGTCTGTTCTATAAAACTAATATGTA